AGACCTCAAAATAATAATACTTCAAGATCGATTATATTCAATTTCCTGCAGTACACTAAAGATAAGATCTTGCAAGCTGCCTGGGCAAAAGAACCGCAACACGATGGCAAGCCGATTTTCTTTGCGCACGATTTCCCCATGGAGATTAATGCAAAACTGAAGGAATATAAAGAAGTGAAAAAAGTCCTCAAGGAGATCAAAATCTGATTTCAGACGCCCTATCCAGCCAAGATGCGAATACACTGGGAGACAGGACCACAACTTTACGAAAGCGTGGCTGAAGCTACGAAAGATTTGAATAAGAGAGGATATACGGTGGATCTGACGATGACGCAGCAGGTATCCGAAGACCCCCGGTGTCGATGGTAAGAAAGACTGACACGCCGTACCTAGTGGCTAAGAGCTGGACGGATCGCTCCTGATCGTGTTCGGGAAAGATTGAAGAGCTTTCAGAGACAAACACCGAATGAAGATTAACTGTTGAGAAACACTGCTGACTGTTAACGTTAAAGAGGTATGCGGAGGCACTGTTACGATACACAACTTACTAATAACACTATTTCAAACTACTTTATAAGTGCGAACTGACTTCGGCTGAAATACTTGAACTCTAACCATTCTACAATTTGTTTGAATATGTGTTCTTCTCGATTGAGTCATTTAAAAGGTAAAAACTACGTTGTTCTGGACTGAATATGTTTCATTTTGTATTTGAACAATCCTCATGATTCCTAGTTGGTTGGAATCCTCGAGTGGATATAGAAATCATTTTGTTTAAAATAATATTTACTTAACTTAATAATCTGAGTTAAAAAGAAAAAAGACCGGGGACAAGTGATTACATTTGTATGTTAGAAATGAGGGGCCCCTGCAAGAGGCAGGAATAAATCCTTCTCCCCAGGACTGGAGCTGGGTTTTGCTGGGTAAAACATGATCCACAACTTTGAAAGCCAATGTTCTTTTTTCTTTGTTTATTTTTATTATCATTTTTGTAAGTTCTAAAGGTTGCCAACTTAACTTTCTGAAATTACTATGCAAAGATATGTTAAAATTGCATCTTTAAATGTACATGGGTTAAATAACCAAATTAAAAGGAGTAAGGTTATAGCCAAAATAAAACGTGAAAAAAATCAAATCATATTCTTGCAAGAAACACACCTTTCCCCATCTGAACGTAATAAACTTTTAAAAATTTGGATATACACAAACTTTCTATAGTTCTTTTAGGAAAAATAATAAAAAGGGAGTTTCAATATCAGTACATAATTCTCTTAATTTTGAGTTGCTAAAAGAGATATCAGATAAAGAAGGCAGATATATTTTGCTTCAGAGAAAACTAAATGAACAATTAATCACTTTAGTAAATATCTATGCACCCTCTGGCAGTAAAACACTGTTCAATACAATTATCAACCTTTTGGCTATGGAAACTAAGGGAATAACAATATGTGCAGATGATTTCAATATAGTTCATAACCAACAAAAGCACACTTCCAATAATAAAAGAATTAAAACGGCTTAATTAAGAAGTTTTAAGAATTCATTAAAAGATCTTGGAGTATTACATGTTTGGAGAGATCTTCACCCCTCAAAACGAGAATACTCCTATTATTCTTCACCCCATGCAGTTTACAGTAGGATTTTTTTATGTTTAGCAGGGACAGACACAGGCAAAATACAAGTATACTAGGGAAAACAGAAGTAGTGGCCCAAATTAAATCAGAAATTATACTTAAAGAATAATGATAATGGGGAAGTAAGTCCTATAATCTTATGGGATGCAGCTAAAGCTTTATTACGAGGCAGATTCAGCGTCTGCTGAACGTGACGTCTGCGTCTGCCAAATGTGACGTCTGTGTCTGCCGAACATGTTGTCTGCCACATTACTGTTCCGCTGCTTAAACGTGACGTCTGCGTCGCGTCTGCGTCTGCTTCAAGGGTTTGCAGCACATTGCGTACACTTATTCCTGCTTTATTATACCTATTCATTCTCTATCAGTGTCTTCACTTATCCTCAGTTATGTTTCATTTGCAATTAAGTGCTTTTTACCTTTCTTATTTATAGCTTTTTATTCCAAATGGTAATATTTATACAAATGATATAAACATTTTGGTATGCCATATATGGTTATACCTATATTGCTTCTTTTATTGTGGTTACAGCTCATTGGTGTGTCTACAGTTTTGCAGCAGTGTGTGTGCACACCTGATGGCTGTGTTTGACCTATAGTTCATGTGTGTGCTCATTTGAAGGCCTTTGCTTTGACATTGAAAGGAAATTCCATTATGAAAAATTTCTGTGTCAAAAGCATCCAAGTGTGTTTAGTGATTTGCAAATGACTGTGTGTAATGTTTTGCAAAAAGTGTGAAGCTGACAATGTGCTTACAGTTGTGCAGATCTAGCCTTGTGTTTTGCTCCATGACTGTACGGTTTTGCTAATTTTAGGAAAAGTTTAATTTTAGTGTGTTAGCAATCATGAGAAACTGTAACTGGGTATTATGTATAAACTGTTACAGTTTTTTACAATGGCTATGACACTTTTATCAATACATTTAACAAGTTTCCTAAACTCTTAACACAGTTAGCACAACATCCGTCTTCGTGGGCTATACAATTAACACATTTCTTGTTGTTTTGACAGAAAATGCATCCAGTTAACACAAATTTAAAATGCTTTAACTTCTTTTACACACAAGCACAACCCAGAACAAAACAATGTAATTTTACAGTCAAATTTACAAATGCTTTAACACAGTATGTCAGAACAGATAACACCATGTTCTAAACAGAAATTATATAGGATAAAGTCAAAAGGAACAGCTTTTCTAATTGTGAATTGAAACACAAGTTTATTCCCTGTATTTTATTCAATTACCAATGAGAAACAGCATATTGCGGTTATATAAATAAATAAATAAATGTGTGTGTGTGTGTGTATGTGTATATATATATATATATATATATATATATATATATTTCTTTATTTATTTATACAACTGCAATATGCTGTTTCTCATTGGCAACTGAAAAAAAAAAAAAAAAAAAAAATATATATATATATATATATATATATATATATATATATATATATATATATATATATATATATATGACAGCTGATTCCCATCTAGAAAGCACACTCATGTCTTGTTTTGGTTTTTCCAATCACATGATCATATGTTCTAATAGAGGACTCTTGAGGTATTTGAAAGGAACAGTGAGCGCATCAAAAAACTCTGTCACCAATACGTCCATGTAAGATTATGCTATACAGTCATTACTGTACTATACACAGTGTGTTTTGCAGTAAACTACTCTTTAAACCTGGAGTTCATTAGTACATACAGTACATATACAGTACAGCATTTGCATACACTGTGTCTAATTACTTTCAGAGAGTCATGAAGTTAGAGGCCAATCAAGTACCACATGAAATTTTGAATGTTGACAAGGCTGGGGATGTCAACGTAGGAAAAACATAATAGGCCAAAGGGCCACAGTTACCGTGCCGGGCCTCAGAAGATATCAAGTATAATGTGGATGAGAACATGTGGCAAAAGACCGGGCAGAATAGAAGATTACTTTGTTATTTTATTATAATTGTGGTGCTTTTCCTGTTTGCACTGATGTCCTTCTGCAAAAAAAGTCTGTAGTGCAGAAATTCTGTGTCTGTATTTTTTTTTTACATAAACTGTAAATTTTATAAAGCAATTTTTTTTCTTCGTTTTGTATAGAATTTTTGCCGTAAACGAAAGAAAATGCATGCATTTACTTAACCCAACAAAACAAAACTGTAACGAGACTTCAAATATAAGGGCAGAGCTGACACATAAACTAATGGAGTTTCTGTAATGTCAGCTGATGATAGTGTTTTTATTGTCAGTGTGTTCTGATTGACTGAATGTTTATGTTGGAAGAGAACATGTGTTTGTGTTTTGAACAATAATTTCATTTTGAAACATGTTTGCAGTGTTTTGTTAGACATGGTGTAGTGTGTTCGTTTATTATTGTATTTTGAAAAGTAGTTTAGAGGTTTAGTTTATAATGTGTGATTTTGAGCTTAAAATTAACTGTTTTGCCAATTGTGTATTTTAGGTGTGTTGCTGCGTTAAGAGTTTAGCAAACTTGTTAAATGTATTGAAAAAAGTGTCATAGCCATTGTAAAAAACTGTAATAAAACTTATGCAGTCTGCACCCTCAAAATCAAAAAGTACAAAGACTGCCACCTGGTGGAGCAAAGAGAAAACTTATTGACAATAACTTTTTAGATCGCTTTAGTACAAATTGTGTATGATAATAGAAATGCAGAATATGTGACTTTTAAAAAAAATAAATATTACATTAATGTAGTCATATGTTTTGACAGTTAATATGCCAGTGATTATGCTTCACAAAAGTTGCAGATGCCTTTACCACTATCAAAATGCTTTTGTAAACATCCAGTTATTCCATACAGCGATTAAAAAATGGCTATAAAGAAAGTCTTTGCTAAATGTAGAACTAAATACATTGATATGCATTGAAATACATGATGAATACTCTTGACACATGAAAGTGTAAAGCCTGCAGCTCACAACAAATGTGAAAAGTTATTGCATGTTATATTTAACAAATCGTTTACTGCAAATTTTTTTTTGTAATTTTGCTCACATGGATAATTGAATATTACTCAGATGATGTCATCACGCTGCTGTGCCATCAGCCAATCGTTGCATTGCTGATCATGATTTCGAGGATCGATAGATCTGTCCTTCACAACACATGCAGCGATCTCAGATCAGTTTATCCAGACATTCTAATCTGATTTACGAACTTGTTTGAAGAACCAAATTAGCGAGAGATCAGTTATCAGGATTAAAAGATCCAGCATCTACCAAATCATCTTAGATCATTTAAGCTAGGTACAAAGAACGGACCCCAGCACTTATGCTTTTCACTCATCACAGCCTACGTGCTGCTGCTGATGTGACAATAAAAGTAATTTGATTTGGATTTGGCGACAGACACTAGAGGCCATGGTCTTTAGCCTACTTGTTAGAGCAACTGCTGTGCGGAAGGTCGCCAGTTTGATCTCAGCTTGGAGCAGGTTGGTTGGTGAAGGGCCGGCAGGGTTACACAGGCCTCGGTAAGCTCACTATTCAAATTCCTTTAACGTCATTGGATGAAAAATACAGACCAGTTTTTCTCCTTCTATTTATTGCCAAAACCCTACAAAGGGCTGTTTTCAACAAAATTTTCAAATGTTTAACTCACATCAAACTGCCTGAAGGATATCGGCTTGGAAAAAAACATCACCAACTGTTTACTCATTTGCTGATTACATCAACTTCCCTGGAACTCCACACATTGAACAAAATTTTTCAATCCAGCTGTGATCATCTACAATTACCCCATGTAGTTCGGTAAAAAATGATTCTGGATGATCAGTTTTCCTTCAAAAAGGATATTGCTAACACAGCTCCATCATGGTGATCTGCACTTTTAACATCAGAAAAATGTGACTCTTCTTAACAGATCATGCAGCACAACTTTTAGTGCAAACTCTTGTTATTTCAAGGCTGCACTCCAACAGTGCTCTTCTAGCTGGATTCCCATCCTGCACCCTTAATCCTCTACAGATGCTCCAGAACGCTGCAGCTCATTTGGTCTTCAATGAGAGCCCATGTAACTCCTCTCTTTATCTCTGCATTGGTTACTGTTCAAGGCTCAAATCAAGTTAAAATCACTGACTCTGCCACCTCTTACCTCCACCTACTGCTGAAGGTCAACATCCCCTCCAGAAGCCTGCAATCTGTGAGTGAGCACAAGCTATAAATCACTTTCCAAAACCTTTTCATTGACTGTTTCATGCTGGAGGAATGTCTTCCCATTCCCAACTAAATGTAAATGTAATATTCTCAAATGTAAGTTTCTCAGTCTCAAAAATAGATAAAAAAAACTCTATAACATTAATCCATGCACAGCTCTATTCATTTGCAAAAACAATTCATAAATTAAAAGACAATTTGTGAATTAATAAAAATTGGGTTTGTGAATTTAAGAATTGTGTGCTACCTCACAAAAATTCCAGAGACCTAAGGAGATCACTAAATTTGTCCCTCTGGGGCAGTGGCTTTCTTTGAATACTACATGTGTTTGTAGCAACCAAACTAATCAATGGTTTTAAACCATTATAGCAGATGAATCCTTCTTTATGTGTCTGAAATGTATGATGTCTGGTACAAAACAAACGCTAGAGATATTTGCAATACATTGGTGTAAATGAAAATCTAGTATCAGAAACAGTATTTGTCTTGTAACATTTGATGTAAGATAGTAACAAACTTACAAGATATTTTACCACATGAAATTATTAAGCAGTCTGTTAATGACTTACCCTGAGCATAATGGTACAAGGCATGGTCCCGCCCTCTATGGCAACTGCTCATTTGAAGACAGCGCCATTGGGATGGACCAAACCAGATCAAAAACCTACTGCCACAGTAAAACTTTGCTTTTTGCATTAGCTTGCTCATGCTCACAGCTGCTCTGCCTCCTCTCGCCTTGCTTTCGGACACTGCACCGCCATTTAATCAGGTCGCAAAGAACATTCCATGCAACCTCTTAAAGTTTAGAAACCGCCGAAACCACAAAACAACTTTTGCAAACCGATTCTCAGCAGCGTCTGTCACCCCGGTAACCCAGGACAACTTCTACTCACAAGTGAGTGAATCCTAAGGACGTCACTGAAGCTGAGTCACCAATCAATCAGGAATGCCGTGTTTCGTTGAGGCCAGTCGATGAAGGAAACTCAAACAAATGTTGTCTCTTGCTGATCTGGTGCAAATTGATCTTAAGCAGTTAAAGATAAGCCAAATCTCTGCTTTTGTGGTTTCTCAGATCTTGTAATAATAGCAAAAATAAATTTGGGATGGTTGTCAACTCATTTTGCACTGGGGTGGGGGGGGGGGGGTTTGGGGGGGGTGATTTGGTTCAGAAGCCGCTTGTCTGAAAGAGTATTGAACGGGCCAATGAATGCAATGAATTGGCAGCGTAAGCTTGCACAGGTGTGCTTCATTGCCAATTATCCCAGCATATAAGCACACCTGGAGCGAGCAAATGCCATCCTTTTAAGCTGAAGAGCCTTTCAAACAGCTAAGGGACAGTCATTATGGCAACGGAGTATAGCACTTCCGTTCCCCTCCTCGGGGAACGAAGGGTTACTTCTGTAACCTCGAACGTTCCCCTTCGGTTGGGGAACTTCAGTGCTATCAAGTGGATTTGATCTTTGAGAAAATCCACGAAATGGGAGAACTATGGAAAGCGCCATAATGACTGCACCTTACCAACGCCCCTGATGAGGGGATAGTCAAGCAAGCGTGACGCACCCACATCATGGGAGGCGTGGTCCTCCAATGTGTCCCTGACCCTAATTTATCCTACTTCAACAGAAGTCTTACGGATTTAGATATATTTTTTGGGAAGTCGTGAGCATCTAGATAATTCTAGGAAAATACGACAGTACAATGGGAAGCGTGCAATCCCGATAGGGAGGACGCTGCTGAGGCCATTCGTTACCCAAGGGGGGAAAGATGGCAGAATTTACATATGGACTAGCCCTAAAAAGGGGGAGTACGCATAGCAAAAAAGTGGTTAGCGGAGAGGGAAGAAACGGGTCCACCCAGGGGGGGGGGGGTTGGGGGACTTAACCATGGCGGAATAAGCATATGGGATCGCCTAGTGGGGATCACGCATAGCAGCCACCTATACCCAAAACACGGGCTGACCAGCGGGCAGACCTACAACGTAGTGGGCCAGCAAGTGACTCCTCCGCTGAGTCAGTGCTGGGGGCCACGGAGGAATCTGCAGGGCTCACCTGACGGGGAACTTTACTGACAGATAAAAAGGTGCACGTACCTCCGTGTTAGGGAGATTGACGCAGCAAGCGTGTTTCAACACCCTACCGAATTGTTTTCTCAATCACCAAAGGGTTACCTAATACCCTTGAGGAAACCGGCTCTACTCGCAGATTGTAAAACCTTGTAAATGTGTCGGGTGTCACCCAGCCCGCAGCTCTACAGATGTCTGTTAGAGAGGCACCGCGTGCGCACGCTCGAGAGAATGCGAAGCTCGGAGTTGAGTGCACACGCACTCTCGGGTGACAGGGCTCACCTCGGCTCTGATAAGCGAGAGAATGGCATCCACAAACCAGTGGGAAAACTTTATTCGGTTGGACACTTCCCTGCTGCCGACCGCCATAACAGACGGAGCTGCTCAGATGATCTAAACTCTGGGTGCGTTCCGTATAATACGCAAGACGCAAACTGGACAATAAAGAAAGGGCTGGGTCTGCCTCCTCCGAGGGCAGCAAATCACGAGGAGGGAGAGCTCTGACATCCAGGTCCGGTTGAGCCAGAGGCGCGCAATCAGCAACCTGTTCCTCGTCCTCCCTGACCTTGCACAGTAACTGCGCGAGCAGGCTCACTGGGGGAAACGCGTATTTGCGCATGCCCCGAGGCCAGCTGTAAGCCAGTGCATCCGTGCCGAGAGCACTCGGTCAGGGAAAGAACAACTGGCAATGAGCTATCTCGGGGGAAGCAACAGATTGATCTGGGCTTCCCCGAATCGCGCCCATATGAGCTGGACAGACTCGGGGTGGACTCTCCATTCTCCAGGACATAAGGCTGCCGTGAGAGCGCATCGGCTGCACGGTTGAGCTTGCCTGAATATGAATGGCGTGCAGCAATTTCAGCTACGGATGACTCCAGAGGAGCAGACGGCGGGCTAACTGAGACATGCGGCGAGAGCGCATAACCCCCATACGGTTGATATATACGCCGCCGCTGCCGTACTGTCCATCCTGACCAGCACGTGTTGCCGCTCCGGCACCGGGAAAAAACGGTAAAGAGCGAGGAACACTGCCAACAGCTCCAGGCACTATGCCAATGCAACTGGGTACCTTTCCACAGGTCCGCAGCCGCATGCCCGCAACGCACAGCCCCCCAGCCCGTGTTGGAAGCGTCTGTTGAAACGACAACAAGACTGGACGCCTGTCCTAGAGACACTCAGGCCTGTAGGAAAGAGGGGTCGCTCCAAGGGCTGAGGGCGCGGCGACACAGAGCAGTAACAGAGACTCGGTGCGCGTGCTATGCGCGTCTGGGGACTCGATCGTGAAGCCAGTGCTGAAGTGGTCTCATATAGAGTAATCCGAGCGGCATGAAGCGGCTGCGGATGCCATATGCCCCAGGAGCCTCTGAAATAGTTTCAGTGGGACCACTAGTTTGCTGTCAAGCTCTCTCAGACAGTACAGCATCAGCTGAGCGCGCTCCCGGGAGAGGCGCTTCCATGGTGACCGAGTCCAGCTCCAGCCCGAGAGAAGAGATCCTCTGCACGGGGGCGAGTTTGCTCTTTTCTCGGTTGACCTGAAACCCCAACAGGTGGAAGTGCCGGAGCACTTTGTCTCTGTGCATAATCAATTGCTCCGAGAGAGGGCAAAAATCAGCCAGTCGTCAAAATTGGGTATGCGGATGCTCGCGAGCCGAAGGGGCGCTAAGGCACCCTCCGCGGGCTTGGTGAGGACCCGCGGAGACAGAGAGAGCCCGAAGGGGAGGGCTTTGTATTGCCAAGCTCCACCTTCAAACGCAAACCGCAGAAACTGACGGTGGCGAGGAAGAGTGGAGACATGGAAAGACGCGTCCATCAGGGGTCTAATGCTGCAGACCAACCCAGAGGACGAACGCACCGGAGGATGCGCTTCTGCGTTAGCATTCTGAACAGCAGCTTGTGCAGACAACGGTTCAAAATGCGCAGAACTAGGATTGGCTGTGACCCACCGCTCTTTTTGGGCACGATGAAGTGTGGGCTGTAAAACCCGCCCTCCATCTCGGCTGGAGGGAGCGGCTCGATTGCATCCTTCGCCAGGAGGACAGCAATCTCCTCTCACAAGACAGGGGCGGACAGGGGGCTGACCCTGGTGAATACACACCCATGACTTGGGGGGCCGTTTCGCGAACTGAATCGCATAGCCGAGTCTGATTGTGCATATGAGCCACCGCGAAGAGCTGGCCCGCCCTAACCAGGCAGGCAGAGCTCCCGCTAATGGACTCATCGCTACAATCGCTGACGTACCAGCAGTGGGGCAGCGCGGAGTGGGTGTGCTGATCCGGGAAGCGCGCGGGTCCCACGGAAAAGCTGGAGGTGAGGGATTTGCTCTCACTCCGCACCTGAGCTCCGGAGGGGAGGCTCGAGGGGTGGGAAAAAGGGGACCGTCCCCCACCCGCGGGGGCGGTGCAGCTCTCGTAGGCGGGCGCCTTCGGCGAGGAGCATGCATGAATGGCACGGCGGGCGGAGCGGGCTACGGACCGCAGATAAGACATCACCCATCAACTGCTCTCTCACCGCCTCGAATTCCTGGGTGAATTCCTAAACTGTGTTGCCGAACATGGCTTGGAATATGGGGAAGTCAAGAAAGCGGACTTTGTCGACTTTGCGCATATCAGCCAGGGGTGGCGCTCCTGGATCACTAATGTGGACATCATCCTCCCCAACGCACACGCAGCGGACTCAGTAGTCCGAAGAGCTAAGTCGGCAGCGGTGCGAAGCTCGTAAGCCTGGGATGGACCCACCCTCGTGCAGCTCGGCCAGCGCCTGCACTTGGTAGCGCTGGTAGGTGGCTATTGCATGCAAGGCCGAAGCAGCCTGGCCCGCAGCCTTGTAAGCTCTAGCTCCGAGGGAGACAGATAACTTACAGGCTTTGGATGGAAGACGAGGCGGACCCCGCCAAGAAGAGGAGCCGCCTTCACCTGGTGAGGATTAACCGCCACCGCGCACTCAACCTGAGGAATCGCCACATACCCCCTGGCCGTTCCACCATTAAGTGTGGTGAGTGTGAAGGGACACGCAGCACGAGCAGAAAAAAGTGCCCTTCAAGACCGGGTGAGCCTACTGTGCACCTCCGGGAAGAAGGGGACACCCCTCTAGTCGGTCCGGCCGCGGAGCTGGGGGATAAACCAGCTCCAACTTACGGCCGAAGCAGCCCGGGAAAGCACGGCTAACATGTTCGTTTCAGGATCCGTTTGACAGCGCTCACCTGCCCGGAGGGGGCGAGCGGGTCTGGAACATCATCGGTCAATGAAAGCCCACCCTCCGATGCCGCGGTGGACGTCTGGTCTTCGATGTCATTGAGCGTGAGGTCTACCATCTGTTAGACGGATCGCTTCCCCCGCCGAAGCTTGGATGGAACGCTTAGAGGAGCGGGAGGTCCACGGGCCCGTGGGCGACGTATTATCTCTCGCTGAAACCCTCAGATCTGCCTGAGTGCCCGCTGCAGAGCAGGGAACAACTGGGGTGGTTTGCCCTTTTGCAAAGGCTAGCCATGATCTTTACTGCGCAACAGTCATGGCATCGCAATGATGACATGAACTGCCCGCGAGCAGCGCATTAACATGCTGGACCCCCCAGGCATGCAACGCAGTGCCCGTGCCCATCATCCGAGGACAGGAAACCACCGCATCCAGAAATGCACAGTCGGAGTGCCGTCCTGAAAAGGACTGTGTTGCTCTTTCTGTGAAGTTTGCAACTTTATACGCACCGCTCTGGAGGACCAGACCCAAAGAACGCCAGGCATGGGAGAAAACCCAGCTCGACAGTCTGCCGCTGCGTGTACACACTCTGGACAGGGAGAATGCTCTCGTTCGCTCGGAATCGCTGGATCACAGCAGGAGGAACCCTTATCGACTCGATGAGAAAGTCTCTGAAGCAAAAAGGATGGCGTTTGCTCGCTCCAGGTGTGCTTCATTGCTTATTATCCCAGCATATAAGCACACCTGCGCAAGCTTACGCTGCTAATTCATTGCATTCATTGGTCTGTTCAATACTCTTTCAGACAAGGGGCTTCTGAACCAAATCCCCCCCCCCCCCCCCCCCTTTCGTGGATTTTCACAAAGATCAAATCCACTTAATTGCACTGAAGTTCCCCAAACGAAGGGGAACCACTGCTCTGAGGTACTCAAAAAACAAACTAGCAAACTCAACGTAAATTGCTTTCCTTAAGTTACTTTTCTACTTCACTATATCCATGTAAACATTTCTTTACAATTTTTAAAACAGTTTGATAATTTAGTCTGTTAATTTCTCTGGAACAATAAGCACTCTAGGTTGCATAGGAGTACATCGCAACAGCCAGGGTTGGGGCTTGCTTAGCATTTATTTCATTATTACGCCTTTAGTCTGAGACTCGTGCACTGGTTCATCCCTCCTGAGAGAGCTCCATCTTGGTTTATGGGTCAAGCCATCCTACTCTCCATTCCACCATTACAATATCTATTCATCTATTTATTCATTTTGTTTTGTAATTGTGTTATTGTTGAGGCTGATCTCAATAATTTTTTTAAAGATAGAATTTTAGGTGCAGGCTAGGAGTGTCTCTGCCATTTACGGATAACATTGTCCTTTTGGCTTCATAGGACATGGACCTGCAGCCTGCAGTGGGACGGTTTGCTGCTGAGTGTGACATGGCAGGGAAAGAACAGCACCTCTAAGTCAGAAACCATGGTGCTTGACTGGAAAAAGGTGGCCATCTCCAGTTTGACGGAGAGTCCTTACCCCAAACTGAGTTCAAGTATCTGAGGTTTTTTTTTTTTTTTTAATGAGGAATGGAATGTGAGATTTAAAGTTGGATTAATGCAGCGGCAGCAGTAATGCAGTTGCTGTGATTGTCTGTTGTGGTGAAGGAGCTGAGATTTCTGTTAACATATGTGTTATCTGATTAAACCTCTTGTCACAGTGTGAACACTTGTATGGTCTCTCCAGTGTGAATCGTCTGGTGCATTTTCAACTTTGGAGCTGTAATAAAAGTCTTCTCACACTCAAAGCACAAATACTCTTTAACACCAGTGTGGATCTTCATGTGTTCATTAAGGTTTGCTGATCAATTAAAACTTCACACAGAGTCCATGTAAATGGTTTCTCTCAAGTGTGGGTCTTCATGTGTTTAATAAAGGTCTGAGGAGCTGCTGAAACCCATTCCACACCGAAGCTCCAGTCTCACTAGAGTTTGAGCATGCAAAATATTGTTGAATGTCGCTGCGAAAAGGGGCGGGATTAAACAAGATGATTAGACATTAAGTGAGCGATTCGTCTATATTTTACTAACTGTCCAGAGAGGTCATGTTTTGATCTTCGATTGGTCTTATAAAGTCAAGTGATGCAATTTCACAGGTCAGAGTTTACCAAGCTTGAACTTTACAAGGCAGTGAACTGCGAAACGTGACGCACAAACTTGCGTTTCCAGTCTGACGCATTCGCGTGCTATGAATAGAAGTTTATGGGGAGAAAAGTCCAGTGTGACTGCGGCTTATTTGCAAGTGAATGGTTTCTCTCCAGTGTGGATTCTCATGTGTCGATTAAGGTGTGATGAGCTGTTAAAACTCTTCCCACACTGAGGGCATGTGAATGGTTTTTCTCCAGTGTGGACCCTCATGTGTAGATTAAGGTTTGATGATTGGCTGAAACTCATTCCACACTGAGGGCATGCGAATGGTTTCTCTCCAGTGTGGATCCTCATGTGTAGATTAAGGTTTGATGATTGGCTGAAGCTCATTCCACACTGAGTGCATGTGAATGGTTTCTCTCCAGTGTGGATCATCATGTGTCGATTAAGGTGTGATGAACGATTAAAACTCTTCCCACACTGAGTGCATGTGAATGGTTTCTCTCCATTGTGGCTCATAATGTGTAGATTAAGGGATGATGAGCGGATGAAACTCGTCCCACATTGAGTGCATGTGAATGGTTTCTCTCCAGTGTGGATCCTCATGTGTCGATTAAGATTTGATGATTGGTTGAAATTCTTCCCACACTGAGTGCAAGTGAATGGTTTCTCTCTAGTGTGGATCCTCATGTGTAGATTAAGGTTTGATGATTGGCTGAAACTCTTCTCACACTGAGTGCATGTGAATGGTTTCTCTCTAGTGTGGATCCTCATGTGTTGATTAAGGTGTGATGAGCTGTTAAAACTGTTCCCACACTGAGTGCATGTGAATGGTTTCTTTCCAGTGTGGATCCTCCTGTGAATCTTAAGATCCCTTTTTCTTCCAAAACTCGTTCCACACTGAGTGCAGGTGAAATGATTCTTGTCTCTCCTTTTCAAAAAACCATCAGTCTGTAAATTATTTTTTTCTTCAATTTTGACATGATGTTCCTCCTCTTTACTCCCCTCATTCTCTTCAATTAGGTCTAAAATGAATAACATAACATTAGTTTTCATTGAGTCTTAATAACTTTCATCAAAAGCTGAAAAGTGAAAAGACACTGGAAAAATTGGCTATACACACTGTAATATTGATGCACATTAAATGCAAAATAAATCAGATTATATTGCGTTTTGTCCACATTTAATCAGATCCAATTCAATTCATCTTTATTTATCTAGTGCTTTTACAATGTAAATTTTGTCCAAGCTGCTTAACCTAGAGGTTATAGTAAATAGACTGTGCACAAACTCTGCTGCCATGTTTCCGGTAGAAAATCAGTCAGACTCTTTACTTCAGCATAGCGTGTTCTACAGCGAAATCTAATAGCGGCGAAACCTAAACGCATCAGAGCATGGCAAAAAAGGGAGATTTACTTTTAAATTGATGAGGATCCTGTGCCAGTGGATGTCCAGCATCAGGAACATCATTATTGTTCAGTTCCAGAACTCTTGGTAGTTGATTAATACACCAAATCAGGCTGACAATCTCTGTGAAGAGGTGGAGTGACTGAAAGAAGACTACTTTGATGCTGCTTTTAGTGATGTTATAACGTTCTAAAGCTACAATTAAAAAATGATGTACTGGAATTTAACCGAGGTGAATGTAACAAGTTGTAATTGTATTTTATATAAATATTACGTTTTTAACCATTCTATAGTAAATTCTATTATACTGTACATTGTTTTCTTGCCTTTGTGCATGTCCTGAGGCTTATCTGAAGACCTACATGTTGACATTTGAAATCCCCGACAAGATGCAGAAATGCCATCTAAAAAGGTCAACTGCTGTTTGTCCAATCAGGGACAGTGGCAACGTAAATATACAAATGATTTTGTTAACCCGGGTTTTGCCAATGTGAAACATCTGTTAATAAACACCCAGGATTATATTTTAACCACAGGTAAAGCATGAGCAGTGTGGATTTTACAGATAAACCAGGATTATTAGACTTGTTTGTTGGCCAGTTGTAGTCAGTGCAATGCTAAACAATATTGTTCCACTATAATTTGTTTGTTTTGCCTCATGTTGTCCTACAGAAACATCATATGGTTTAAAATACTGTACAATGTTTTATTATAATTAATTTTTTTTGTCCATTTTATTCAGCATATTTAAAATTGGGGGCATCCACTTTTTGGACATGCTTTAAACCAGGGTTTCTGCAGGTTTTACTAAATTAAATTTAAGACCTTTAAAGACATTTTTAAGACCATTATGAATGAAATTTTAGATTCATAAAAGGCTAAACAATCTTTCAAATGACCCAGATGGGAAATATTTTTATTTGCCATTTCAAAAAATATTATCATTTAAAACATGTATTAATATAATATTAAATAAATTATAAAAATTATATTTGAGATATTTTGTAACAAAAGATTTTATATATTCTGTAAAAACAAGCAAGCTTTACTTGTATCCATACACTTTTTCCAACATTAACTTTCTTTATAATAATTATAAACAAATGAACAAATGTTTTAAAAGTTCTAAAAACTATAATAAACTAAATCTATGTACAACAATCTGTCCAGGTTGATGTCCTCAGCAGTAAATACATGGAGCTCGTTTAAACAAATTTTATTGTAAGGAAAATAATTAAACTGTTATAATAAATAGAGTTAAAACAACCTTTTGAATAAAAAATTGTTTGTTGAGATAGGTTGTTGGTGATTGTATGCACTTTGGCCAGATTGGGTAGCAAAACATGAAAAAAGGAAAATAAAGACTTGATTAAAAAAAAAAAACATTTAAGACCTACAACACAATATTTCAGTAAATTTAAGACATTTTAAGGCCAGAAATTTAAATTTTGTAATTTAAGACATTTTTTGACTCGCAAAAACTCTGTTTAAACACAATAGCCCTGGTAATTAGTTATGATAATAATGATGTAATTCTAGCGCAGATATTATCTGTGAGAACTAGTAACATCTTCTAGAAACAAGTTTAAGCCCATAAAGAAGTTGGAATTGTGATCAACGTGACATATGCAAATAGAAAGTACCAAGTCAACTCTTATCACTGTAATTGCAGATATCTTCTATGAGAATACTGTGAGGACTAGTAATTACAAAATAAATGAGAACAAGTAACAAAAGACACTCACTCCTGAGAGTTAACCTGCCCTAAACTAGGCTAGATTCCCAGCATAAGTTGCCAGAGTAACTGAGTTTGAACTATCGTAAATTTGATTAATGAAACTGAATCCGCCAATAATAAACTGACTTTCCAAAATAAGCCTGATGATCATTGTGGAACGTGATTACAGATAACCCAGGATTCTGTTAATCCAGGAATAGAATGACCACGTGTTAACAATTTGTGACAACGTAAATATACAAATAATAATGATAACCCAGGGTTTACAAATGTAAACTGTCTGTTAATGAACACCCAGGATTATTTTTTAACCCCAGGTATAGCATGAGCAGTGTGGAAGGTGACTACAAATAACCCAGAATTTATCCAGGGTTAGAATGACCCAGGGTTAACAATTTGAAGTGTGAAAAGCCCTAAAAAAATCAGCATCAGCTCTCAGGATAAACAGAGTACAATGACAAACAGCGACATACAAAAATTGTCAATCATGTTATAGTAGTGACCTGATCTCATATGCTATTATTTTAGAACTTCAGTTGTCTTTTGGAGAAATGACCAAGAATAATAAACGGCTACTTGCTCTACAAATAAGTGTGTTCATGTCTATACAAAGAAAAATAATAAAATGAGAAAATATGACTTTGCAACATCAAGCAGCATTAGGCATGGGCCAGTATAAGATTCTGACGGTATGATAACCTAAAATGAATTTTCTTCTGAGAAACATATAAAATATTTTGGAGCAGTAAACATGTCAGGTTAAATCATTCATATGAATCACAGATTTCTTTATGATTTAAAATGGCATCTTTGGAGATCTTTTCTGCTGGAGTTACTGTTGTCCTAAAAAACTTAAAACAAAACATAAAAAAAACCTTACATGTACTGTAGGAACGGTACAGCAGAAAATGTTGGCGGTTTTAAAACCTTGACTTTTCCAAACTGCGGTAAACTTTGAAAGCAGTTATCGTTCCATGCCTAAGCAGCATAACACTGTTTTTAGGATCTAAAAATGTATTCCTTAAAGGGTCACGAAACACCAAAACACATTTTTTGAGCTGTTGACAGTCGTATATGTGTCCCACACTGCTAAAAACACTATTAGGACACCTATATTTCACTAAAAAGGGTAAATTGGTTGTTTTTGCGCTATTTCAAGCAAATTCGTACTTCTAGTTTGTAACGAATTTTTGAAGCTGCGTCACGGTCATGACATAATAGCGTGTATTCCAGCGTGCAGACTGGGCGTCTGTGCCAGAGTGAGTCTTATTACGTCTTACAGTGTGATGCATTAATGCATGAGTAAGGCTTGGGTCAAACCAATCAGCGCGCTCTATTGTGCAACTTCATTAATATTCATTACTATCACCGTGTTTTCAGGACAGAGACGCCACGTTGTGTTGGCAAAACAAGCGTGAAGTGTTGCTTTTATAGTTTGCTGCAGTTAAGTTTCGTTTTCATTTTCTCTCTGTGAGAGCTCAGACTCACGTGTGGATTAACAGTGTACGCGACGCGCGACAACAATAACTTACGTGTCCAAGGAGGATTATTGTTTACCTGAGAGCTGTTCTCATCTGCAAACGCTGAGATCTGGATTCGTTTGTTGTCTTCTCTTCATAAAGACGCGGCTCTAGTTGCTGGTGATTGTCCTGTCTCTACAGATTTGGTAAGTGAGCGACCAGTGCTCTTTGTTTATTCAGTTTGTTCGTATCTAACAAACTATTGCACAGAGTGTAAACACGTTAGCACCACAACCAAACTTTAACCTCGTGTAGGGTTTTTACCGCATTTAGTGACCGGAATAACACGCGCGGCTTTCCGACGCTACCTGTCGTGTGCATCTAAGTTTCTGGGAAATGCAGAGGGTTTTTTTCTCTCATTCGCCGTGCGGTATAAAACATTGCATGAAAAATACACGCTTAGAGCAGCTCCTCGAATCAAATATCTCGTGTGTCGCGAGGGGCATGAATGAATTCCCTGAATGAAAGAGCCAAACTGCAGTTAAAGTCCAACATTTAATAATTTGGCAAATAATTCGACTACAGATGTCCATGTAGGTTAAACACCATCACTTTCTTCTGTGTGTGTGTGTGTGTGTGTGTGTGTGTGTGTATTTTGACTCTGAAACTCGCGCGTGCCCAAATAGACACTCCCACACCATCCCACTTTTCTTCCTCCGACACTCCCCCCTAAACAGAGCTGGACACGCCCACTTTTCGGACTTTTTCCAAAGTAGAGGTGTGAAAACACCCTGCTGAAACGAGGGGGTTTCATGGCCCTTTAAAAAATTCTCAAGCAAAAAGATTCCAATGGCGCCACCTGCTGGTACATGAACAACATTGCCTATTTTTGAGACTGTACAATGTTTATAATAATTTATTATTTTAGTGTCCATTTCATTCAGCATGTTTAATATTAGGGGCATCCACATTTTTTGACATACTGTAAACCAGGCTCTCTGTGAGTTTTACCAAGTTAAATGTAAGACTTCTTAAGACATTTTTAAGACCATTATGAATGAAATTTTGGACTCATAAAGGGCTAAAGGCTAAAGAACTTTTCAAATGGCCCAGATTGAAAAGGTTTTTATTTGCCCCATCAAACAAATATTACAAGTGAATACATTTAATAATACAATAATAAATTAATAATATATATATTTTTAATTTTAGACATTTCTTTAATAAATAAAAACTAATATTGTGTAAAAACAAGCCAGCTTAACTTGT